GAGGCAAGTATGGAAACTCTCCACACCACCCCGGAGCGGCCTCCCTGCGCTCTCCCTGCTGCAGTGTCTCCCAGGGGTTCCCTGTCTGCTCTGTTCGCAGCCCGAGGATGGATGGACACACGCGCGTGCGTGTGCCACTGGCCAGCTTTGGGGAACTCCCTTCTGCTTCTGGGCTCACCGAGCTCTCCTGGCTTTGGGGCCTTCTCCTGAGTGGCCCCCCTCCCTGGAATGCCCCTGGCCTCTGCCCAGCCCTGCTCACGCTTCAGCACAGCCCAGGTGTCACTTCCTCTGGGAAGTATTCCAGAGTCCAAGTTGGGTGGCCGCCCCTCCTGGGAGTGACTCCTTGACCTGGATTTGGTGGCCTCATTGGAGTTCTTATCAGACTGATTTCTGCTCCAGGGTGGGGGGGGTGCCCACTTCCGTTAGCCTTGGGCCCCAGCCCTGGCTTGCTCATCCTGTGGCCTGGGCCTGAGCAGCTGGCAGGAAGGGAGGGGCTGTGAGCCACTGTGTGGCTGGGAGGGTGAGGAGGGTGGAGGATGAGTCAGAGGACCCCCCAGGGCGCGTGTCTGGGGCGGGAAAGTGGCAACACGGCTGGCCAGTGAGAGGACCGGTGGGAGTGGGGTGGATGTGAGACGGCCTCCCCAAGATGACCCTCACCTTTCTCTGGTTTCTGGAATCCAAGGAGCGGGAGGAAGTGCAGGTTGGGCGGAGTGGAGGGGCAGAGAGAGGTGGGAGAGAGACGGCTGGTCAGATAGCTCCCCCAGGACCAGGTCGGATCCACCACCTGTCCCAGCCACCTGAGCTGTCCCCATGATCTTGAATCATGGTTCAATGAGGCACCGCCATTCCAGCACCAGATTTCACATTAAACTCTGGATCTCCAGGTTCTCTTGAAAATCCGGAAGCCTTGGCACCCTGGATTCATTCCTGCATGGCTACAGCCTGCTAGCCCCCCTGCCAGCATGCGTGCCCAGGGGTCTCAGGCCCAGCGCCCGCTGCCTCCCTGACCAGGAGACCTGCGGTCGGTGCTGCTGGGCAGCGCGCTTGCCCCGCTGCGGGGTTTTCTTTTCCTTTTTAGTAGAAAATAGAAAAGCAAGACACTTTTCACACTCATGTCTTTATTAAAGATGGGAAAACCAAAGCTTGCATGAGGGGCCAGGGGTGCTGGCTGCCTCATCCCGTGCTCTCCTGCCTTCCTGGAGATGACCAGGCTGCGGGGAGGGGGCTCTGGGGACCGCGAGCTGAGGAAGAAGGGCCTGGGAGGGGTCCTGGGGGACAGCCCTGCCCGGCTGTTCCTGAGCTGCTGGAAAGTAGGAAGGAAGGAGGGAAGCGGGGGAGGAGGATTGCCCGGCAGTGGGATGAAGGCACAATTGACCTGAGGCTGCTGGGAAGGCATCTGATTTGGGGCCAAGGGGAAGGGGTGAGTGAGCGGGGCTCTGGCCCTCTTTGCTTCTATGGTAAACGCAGAGTGCTTGGTCAGGTCAGGCCCTCCGGGGAGGTTTGTGCCTTCACCGGGTGCCTGGGTGGTCAGCAGGCTTGGGGAGTTAGGACACTTCTTGGTGGACCCAGGGTGACGAGGATGGCTGGGGGACCGCCAACCTCCCAGTGACCCTGCAGCCAAAGAACGGGCAGTCTGGAGCTACTGGCGTTTACTCCCCCCTGGGAAAACGCCGAGTGCCAGGGTCCTGGAGGCACTGTGTGGTTGTTGGTTCCGGGTCTCCGGGGACTCCTAGTGTGGCAGGGTGGCTCCAGGCTCTGCCTCAGGTCTCAGGCACTGCCCCCTGCTCTCCTATCTCGAAGGCTGCTTCCTTATCTTCGCTTCCTCATTGCCACTTATCTGAGGTAAGCACTTCCTCCTCTGCCCTGGGACCCTCTGTCTACACTTCTTTCCCCAGCCACACGTGGGCCGGCCTGGCCTGTACAGCCCCACTTTACAGACAGACAACCGAGGCCCACATAGGGAAATCAGGCCGCCCAGAGGCAGGCCCTGGTGCTCCTAGGAGAGGCTGGACTGTTTCCTCACCTCTCTGGAACCCAGGGGCTCTGCTGTCCCCGCTCAGCCCCTGCCCTGCCCTACCCTGCCGCAGTCTCCACAGGCTCTGCGTGGCACCAGCGCCCCCAGGAGGACTGGCCTGCAGGCAGAGATGGCCCATCTGCCTTCTTTACTGACTAAGTTGAAAACAAATACGAAGAAAAAGAGGTTGATACAGCAGTTTTGTTATTTAAATGGTCTCTCTCTTAAACTTAAAACAAACAAAAAAACAGCATAATAATATAAGCTTAAATTTTTAAAGCTTAAAAATATTTTTAAATTTTTAATTTTTTTTCAATTTTATTGAGATGTAATTGACATATAACATGGTATTTGTCTTAGGTGTACAACGTGGTGATTTGATACATGTGCATATTACTAATGATCATAGCAAGTTTAGTTAACATCCATCACCTCACATAGTTACAATTTTTTTTCTTGTGATGAGAACTTTTAAGAGTTACTCAGTATTATTAACTGTAGTCACCATGCTGCACATTACATCCCCAGGACACATTTCTTTTATAACTGGAAGTTTGGAGACACCCCCACCCCAACTACCGATCTGTTACTCTGTATCTTTTTTTTTTTTAATTTTTATTGGGGAATTGGGGGAAGGGGAACAGAGAAGTTGCTGTCATTTTTTTTTGTGTGTTCTTCAGTCTAGCTGTGGAGGACGTTGCTTCACTGGCCCAAGTTGGCACCATCATTGCACTCTTCCCGGGTGAGGCAGATCAGTCGCCGGCTTCTGGACGGCCGCTCACTG